CATTCCTTTGAATCAGAGGCAACAAATGTGGTTCCAGCATGATGGTGCTCCAGCTCATTTTTCCATGGCCGTTAGAGAGCATTTACACCAAACTTTTCCACATAGATGGGTAGGAAGGGCCGGACCTGTTTTATGGCCTCCAAGATCGCCTGATCTGAACCCTCTAGATTTCTTTGTTTGGGGATATTTGAAGACATTAGTGTATGGTACTCCTGTAAATGGCCTGGAAGAGCTGCAGCTACGGATTAATCAAAAGTGTCAAGAAATCCAAACCAAGGAGGGTGTTTTCGAAAGAGTTCGAATATCGTTGAGACGAAGATCTTCTGTAAGTTTGTTTTTTGTTTGTTAAAAGCTTCCTTTGTCGGTTTATTCCTAATAAAATAAAATGTTTGAAAAACTAATAGTGGTCCATATCTCCGCAACCGTTACTTTGCGGACCCATGTTTATTAAGATTTTTCTGCTTATTTTGGTTCATACTATTACCTCCTGAAATATTTTACTTTTTTTAACACCCTGTAGGTATTAATTTTAAAGGAAATGAGAGATTTACGCTTGGATTTTACATTGGTTTGAGGTTTTCAAATACCTGCGTACACGCAACTGAAACCGTGATTGAAAAATTTGTCTGTTTTTAGAAGACCTAAAATACATAAGAGAAAGTGTGACTGATGGGCTAATTTCAATAGACCTAATATAGGAAACCCAATACAGAGAAACACGACTGGAAGGTATGAAAATAATCACGAGCCTACGAAGATGGCACTAAATATTCAGATCCATGTTCACTAATGACCTGAAAATTTTAAACGCCAATTTGCCCTTCCCATATACCGCCTATCTCAAATTGTCCGCATTAAAGCTTACAACGTAGAGATAAATGCGGAACCATTCCGTATAATTTTATAGCGTTTTCTCACTAATTAATTTGGTGCTGTTTTGGAAACTCTCGCGTACTGCAAGATATATCTTCAATTTGTATGACATTTAACGACCGTGGTAAGAAAACTTTCATCGGAGAGGTCAATTCCTCCTCGGATTCGGTCCGGTCGCCCATCGCGAGTTCACCGGGACCATGGAACGGGTTCTGAGGCCCCTAATTAAAAGGATTTATTAAATTATAAATTCAATTTCGGAGCAATTAATAATCGGCGGGCATAATTAATACATAAAATTATCATCATCTCTGCCGATGTTTTAAAATCATTAAAAGATATTTCCTTCTGCGCGTCTCTATAAATTCATTAGCGAAAATTATTATTTTTAAAATATCACGTATTTGCGTCG